AGCGAAAGACAGCATGTGTGATGAGATATGGAGCCTTTGAGTGGTTGGTGATGCCCTTCGGCTTAACCAATGCACCGGCCACATTTTTCACCCTTATGGACAAGATTTTCCATCCCTACCTTGATCAGTTCGTGGTAGTCTACCTAGACGACATAGTCATCTACAACAACACATTGGAGGAGCACATGGAGCACTTAAGGAAGGTTTTCCAAGTCTTGCAGGAGAACGAGCTATACATCAAGAGAGAAATGTGAGTTCGCACGAGCAAAGGTGCACTTATTGGGCCATGTCATTAACAATGGCGAGCTACGCATGGACGAGGCTAAGGTACGTGCTATCCAGGAGTGGGAAGCACCTACAAAGGTAACTGAGTTGAGATCCTTCCTTGGCCTTGTTAACTACTATCGTAGGTTCATAAGTGGCTACTCAGCCAAGGCCGCACCATTGACTGAGTTGCTAAGAAGAACAAGCCATGGGTTTGGACGGAGAATTGTCAAAAGGAATTTGAAGGCCTTAAGGCAGCTGTAATAGAGGAGCCAGTCTTGGCGTTACCTGATTTTGCCAAGACATTTGAGGTGCACACAGATGCCTCAGACTTCACCATTGGGGGTTTCCTGATGCAGGATAAGCATCCCATAGCGTTTGAGAGCCGAAAGTTAAATGAGACGGAGTGGTATTACACGGTGCAAGAGATGGAAATGACTACCATTGTGCATTGCCTTCGTACATGGAGACATTATCTGCTCGGGTAGAGGTTTGTGGTCAAGACCGACAATGTGGCTACTAGATACTTTCAGACTTAGAAGAAGCTCACACCAAAACAGGCTAGGTGGAAGGATTTCTTAGCCGAGTTTGATTATGTGCTGGAGTACAAGCCGGGCAAAGGTAACGTTGTAGCCGATGCCTTGAGCCGGAAAACTGAGCTTGCTGCAATAACTTCAACAAGATGGGACATTCATTAGGCTATAAAAGAAGGCATACAACATGATCCAGCATCCAAACAACTTATCGAGTTAGCCAACCAGGGCAATACGAGACGTTTCTAGGTCGAAGACGGCCTACTGCTTATCACAGGTCGGCGGGTCTACGTGCCTAAGTTTGGAGACATTAGACGGCGGATCATAAGGGAGAGTCATGACACAATGTGGGTTGGTCATCCAGGCCAACGTCGCACTAGGGCCTTGGTTGAGTCAGTCTACTATTGGCCACGCATGCGAGATGACATAGTGTGTTATGTGCAGACTTGTCTTGTCTGTCAACAGGACAAGGTTGAGCAACAACAACCCGGAGGACTTTTGGAGCCACTACCAGTTGCAGAGCGTCCATGGGATAGTGTGACTATGGACTTTATCACTTGCCTACCGAAGTCCGACGGTTATGGTACTATTATGGTGGCCGTGGATAGATTTTCCAAATATGCCACATTCATGCCCGCCTCACCAGGTTGCACTGCCAAGGAAGCCGCCAAGATATTCTTTAAGAACGTGGTGAAGTATTGGGGCTTACCAAGGCATATTATCAGTGGTCGAGACCCCCGTTTTACTGGAAATTTTTGGAGAGAGTTATTCGACATACTTGGCACGAAACTGCACTTTTCCACTAGTTTCCACCCACAGACAGATGGACAAACGGAACAGGTCAATGCCTTACTAGAATGCTACTTGAGGCATTATGTAATCGCGATCAGAAAGATTGGGCAAGGCTCCTAGACATCACCCAATTCTCTTATAACTTGCAGCGGAGTGAGTCCACGGGGCGGACACCATTTGAGCTAGCCACAGGCCAACAACCACAAACTCCACATTCATTACCAGCTGCGTTCGTGGGAAAGAGTTTGGGGGCTTATCATATGGCCAAAGGATGGGAGCAGCTTGACACTGCTAAGTCCTACTTGGATAGGGCATGTAAGAAGATGAAGAAGTTTGCGGACCGTAAGCGCCGACCCATGGACTATAGAGTTGGGGACATGGTCATGGTGAAGTTTAACCCAAGACAGTTCAAGGCACTACGGGGCATGCATCAGAATCTGATTCGCAAGTATGAGGGGCCATTTAAGATCGTCGCCAAGGTAGGCAAGATCTCATACAAACTTGACATGCCATCGTATCTTAAGATCTACCTTGTCTTCCATGCCAGCATGTTTAAGCCATATCATGAAGATAAAGATGATCCAAGTAGGGGCCAATCAAGTCGAGCGCCTATGATCATCCGCCTCGCATGATCGGGAGATTAAGGCTATTATGGATTACCAGGTCAGGCGAAAACAAGGGCAAAAAACCACCGCTATGTTCCTCGTCCATTGGAAGGGGCAATTACCGGAAGAGGACACATGGGAACGATATGAAGACTTATGGCAATTCAAAGATAAGATCCGAGAGTTTATGCAGCAGCATTGCGCCGCGGTCGTTGCAATATTAGGTGGGGGAGAGTGTGATGACCCGCCATGTCATCATGCCACATATGCACCATTTGGCATATATTAATGCCATGTGGAAGCTTACATAAGAAGAAGGCTAGCATTTGTGAGAAGATTCTAGAGAAGTATGGACATTTCCTTAGGAAGAACCTAGATCCTTAGGGATTTGCTAGGAAAGTCCTTGGAATCTTCTAGGCTTGTAGAGAATTCTAGAGAAATCCCTTATCTTGTAAATATTAAGGACTTGTGCAATAATTAATATTCACACACTAGCCCCTAGGAGACTAGTATATAAAGGGGGCCATTCATTTGTAATTCATCAAGCAAACAATTCAAGTTCTCTCTAATACAAAGCTTCCTTTTTAGAAATTCTCTTGTGTTCTTCTTTCTACCGTTCTCTTAGAGATCTTGAGTGTAGTAAGGCTGACTTGGCATATCAAGAACGTAAGCAAGTTGTGAAAGATCGTGAGCGAGTTGTCAAGTGCCGCACGTGTATTTAGCTAACGACTAAGGACGTGGCATACATCTCTGGTATTTATTTTGGAAGATAAAATGAGCTTTTTGCCTAGAAAAAAAATGGTGATCGGACTCGTTAGCCAGCGTGACATTGATAGTAATGGACTCAAGGGGTCTATGTGGTACGAATAGGATCAGTTGATGGTCTGATATGAGAATGTGCTAGGTATTTGGGTAGAGATGCAAAAAATAACTTTGCTCTTCATTCAGAGAAGCTTCAACTTCAGTAGCCGAAAAAAAGAAAAAGTATTAGTGGTTGGCTGTTCTTCACCGTTCTGCTCTGTCCCTATTTCATCCACACCTAAAGATTGATCACCGGTAAAAATTTGATCCCTAGGGGTATCCATTTATCATGTTAAGCTGGCATCAGTTCCATTCAAATAAGTCTAAACAAGTAGCAAATCATAGGCTTCTAGCATAGTTATTAGTTAGGCACTCTTATTTCAACGGTTGATCAAGGTAGAGCCAACTTGCTTGGCCTACGCCTAACCATGCTATGCATCACGCCTTTCAGCATAAATTGGATAATTAATTCATAGCTTTTCTTCAAGTCATCCCTGTAGGGAAACTTACACAAATGTTCCAAATAAATCCCAACTTACCAACCTCTAGTCATTAATCATAGACTTACCAAAACTAGCCAATAAATATTGAAAAATCAAATAATAGGGTTCTTTCTCTCAAAGAATCACATGCAAAAATCACCTTCCAAATTTTTAAGCGTGATTAGCAACACTAGATACAAGACGGAAAGGAAATTTTATGGATGAGGTAGCAAATAAGGTAATGAAATACAAAAAATATATACACTATTCCAAAAATTTAAACAAAAAAGGAACTTTTTCAATGGGTATAGTTGAAATTCATTGAAAATATATAGATAAGTCAATATACAAAATTTGAGGAAGATTGGAAGTGATTTGGATTGGTTTTGTATCAAAATTCGTAACTAAATCGAGTTCAAAAAAGTCTTCTGCGACACATGTATCAAACATGTATCACGCATGTATCTCTCACACACAGGTATACATGGATATACATGTGATACACAACAGATACAAATATGATACATATGTAATACACAAATGATACACAGTGTGATACACATATCATTTTTTTCATGTTCATCTGTTTTTACCGATTTTCAATTCAAACCACCTCAAAACTTCACCAAATCATCCCAAAACTGAGATTCAAGCTCCTTAAGCTGTGCTCAATCTATTCTAATAACACCCACTCAAAACAAAGCAAAAATTTGATATTTTTTTGCTACAAATAGCTAATTAGCTAATTTGGCTAATATTAGTAATATTTTATCAATTGGCCAATTTTTGTAATGAGCTACCTATAAATGGACATAGCTGGTAATTTCCCATCCCTATAACCTAGAATGTACCTCAGGTCCATGCTATTTGGTAAGAAAATAGACTAGAAATCTAACTCAGCTTCTAGAAGATAGTTGATGAAACGAAGACTACCCAAATACCATACATCTTTAAGAAAAAATAGGGCTCCCAAAAATTTGAGGCCCCAAGCGATTGTTTTACTGGCCTTATAGTCGAGCCACCCATGCTTATTTGGTAAGAAAATGGACTAGAAACCTAACTCAGCTTCTAGAAGATAGTTGATGAAACGACGACTACCCAAATACCATACATCTCTTTAAGGAAAAAACGGGACGCCCAAAAGGTTGGGGCCCCAAGCGATTACTTTACTAGCCTTATAGTCGAGCCACCCATGCCTATTTGGTAAGAAAATGGACGAGAAATCTATTCTAGAACATAGTTGATGAAACGACAACTACCTAAATACCATAGTATAAGATTTTAGTATCATCGATGATGCTCTGGAAGGTGTTTTGCACATTTAGTATGATTTGATTAGCTCCATTCATTTTTTGGTCATGTCAACAAATCACGCCCAATATAAATTCGGCTGACTTCTAACATACAGATTTTTGCTCAATTTAAATGATTCTTTACTATTTATCTTTTAAGTTATCATATTATGCAAATATATTTTACGTCATTAGTACATAAAAACTACTTTTTTTTTCAACCATAAAAAATATACTCAATTTAGAATATTCCATTATACTAAGATGTAGACTTTTACAAATTAAAGTACCCCACATTTGAAAGCGCATATAAATGGACTCTTCCTAACTTTTTTTGTAGAAAGATACTCGAGATCTCGAATATATCATACATTGTTTGCTTTATATGCATATTTGTACCTTTCTCCCCTCCTACCTACAAACACCATCCCCCCCCCCCCCCCCTCTATTCATTCACTAAAGCACATGAAACATTCAAAGATGAAGAAGGCATCTTAAGGATTTTCCGTCCACAAGCAATTGAAAACCTTCGTTGATCTTCTCAAAGGGCAGTTCGTGAGTAATAAACTCGTCCAATTTCACCACCTGATTTTAGTTCATACACATTAGTCAGTAACTTTACAAGAATATGAGGAAAGCCATATAGTGATATAGAGGTAAAATAAAAATAAGACGCGGAAGAGAAGATGTAAAATAGAATTTAATTACCCCAGCCATGCACTGTTTAGCAAAAAGAGGAAGTTGAGACTTTCCTTTGAAGTCACCAAAGATAGAAGCCACAATCCTACGGCCATCGAACAGTTCCATAGGATGGAGTGGCAGCAATCTTGGTGTCGGATGGATTCCTAGAACTATTGTCATTCCCCATCCCTATAATAATTTTTGAAAATAAAAAAATTAGGCCAAATACATACACAACCCATTAAACTTGACCAAATATTTTATTTTGGCACTCTAACTAACTCTTGTTCCATTTTGGCCCTCCAACTCCATTATCTTTGTTCCACTTTAACACAAAAGCTCACTAGATTTAGTGTGTGATTTGCCTCCCCCTTTAGGCGCGTGAGGGACCATTTTTCAGCCAAATTTCCATGGCCAAATACATACACAACCCATTAAACTTGGCCTAATTTTTCATTTTGGCACTTTAACTCAGCCTTGTTCCATTTTGGCCCTCCAACCCCGTTTCTTTTGTTCCACTTTGACACAAAAGCTGACTATTTTTCATACTCCTAACGTGGAGGCGGATGCAGAATATAAATCATATGGATTCAATTTTAATGTTTTTAATATTGAACCCATTATATTTTTAAAGTTATGGGTTTATATCTATTTTTTACAATTTTAATGAATTTTTACATACAAATTTTTACTCCGCATCGAAATTTATCGGTTCAGTTGAACCCGTAGTTATTACTGAAAATATATATATAAAAATATTTTTTCCACGAGAGGGGGCAGAAAAAACGAAAAAATAATAATTTAAAATTACAAAAAAAAATGCGGGTGGTGGGGGTAGCAACTGGGTATTTGTCCGCGCTGTATTTTTGCTTGGGGTAAAAGTTTTTGTGTCAAAGTGGAACAAAAGAACCCATTTTATTTTTAAATATTATGGGTTCATATCTATTTTTTTTACATTTTTAATGAATTTTTACATACAAATTTTTAATCTGCGTCAAAAGTTATGGGTTCAGTTGAACCCGTAGTTATTACTAAAAAAATATTTAAAAAAAATATTTTTCCTCGGGATGTGGGCAGAAAAAGGGAAAAAACAAAATAAATTTTGAAAATTTACCAAAAAAAAAGTTTTAAAAAAAAACTTTAGACGGG